CGGAGGAGAGAGCAGGGGTGTATAAGATTCCTTATGAAAACTTACAACTGGACGTTAAAAAAGATTATATCGGCGTCACCACCAGAAGCTTGGGAGTAAGGCTCAAGGAACATAGATATGCCATAAGAAAAGCGTCTAATTCAACGGTTTTGTCACAAATGGCGCAAGCACAAGGATCTGAGGTGAAATGGGACGAGGCAACAATCATCAAACCTCTGTCTTCCCCAACTCTAGCAATGACGGCAGAAAAAATAGAAATATACAGAAGTAAGATAAGAGAAGGCTGTTTAAATGCGAGGGATTCCGAGAGCCTGCCTTCGGCATGGAAATATTTGGTTAAGAAATATACTACAAGCTCCGACCAGAATTAATACATTGAAGATTTATGTTATTTTTGTTTTAGTGTTTTATTTTAATTTTTAAATATTCTTCCGTTATTTTCTCTTGTAAAAAATTTTTGATTTAAATTTTTATGTTCTATTCATGGAACATTTACGTTCCGTTGTATTTTTCAACCTGAAGATGGCCTATTAATTAGGCTGAAAACGTTTGTTGTTTAAAAATTATATTTCTCGGCAAAAAAGGTGTTTTGTTTATCTTTATTTAGTTGCTGAGCGCTTTTGATATTGTCAAATAAATTTTATTCAAAATGTTACTCAGAATAACAAAAGCTTAAAATTATGCAAGTTAATATGTAACAATTTTTCTAAACGGCGTATCAGCAGTTGGTGGCCAAGTGCTGACCAAATTATACGTCATTATCTTATGTCTCGTCTCGATGTAATAATACAATTATTAAACAAAGACAATTGATATCCAAACAAACACTTCTGACACACAAAAAAGTTTTACCAAGAAAGAATTGCGTTAAGCAATTCTTTCTTGGTAAAACTTTTTTTGGTAAAACTCTTTTTTCATTTATTTCATTAATGTTCACAAGAAAGAATTGCGTTAAGCAATTCTTTCTTGTGAACATTAATGAAATAAATGAAAAAAGATAGATTCCTCCAAAAAGTCTAGATTTTGCTATCTTTTTTCATTTACGTCAATAATGTTTACACTAACATCAGGTGCATTCCCATATAAAATGTAAGCATTGGCAGAAGAAATGGGGTAGGAGGGAAAACCTTTCAAAGTTAGAAATATGAAGTTTCATTTGACTAATTTGATAGTCTGTTGGTCATAGTGCAAGATGGGCCCAACGCTGGGCGTTCGTCCGTTTTTACTGCCATCCCGCTTGACATGTTTCGAGCCTAGACTAGAAGGAACAATGACGGCAATTAATTTGAACATTTCCCTTTCAATTTGCCTGCCTGCCAAAATTTCAGTTTCACCCACTAATAGGACTTTACTCGTCTGTTGGTCTGGCTTGGTGCCCGGAATATTTCAAGATGGGGTGGCACTAAAGGATTTGCCAGTGGCGGGATTAATATGCTTGGCTTTCGTGCCCAAGGATGTTTCTAACCGGAAGAAAGCACCCCAAACTTGCCTGGGTTTGATTATGTAATAAATTGTGCAGGATGCCCGAGAACACGTGGAGAGAAGAATACGGGTGTTGGCACAGTCGGGAGCGACTGCAGCTCTGGTCAGTCTGTCCAAGACAGAGAGCAAGAGCAGCCGAGAAATGATTTCCAGGTAAGACCTAGAAGGGAGAATCTCGGCCCCAGAACTGCATATGACTCCTGTCCTTTTTGCTTCAGGGTGTTCAATGCCATCTGCGAATTTAAGGAGTTGCGAGGCCTGGTTGTGCAGCAGGGTGGAACCAAGGTGGGTTCTTCTTCTTGCTTGGCTCTTTCCTAGTCCGAATCCTCAATTGCTCCTTCTCTTCCGCAGGCTCTGCTGAGTTTGGCCCTGGAAGGAACCCAGACGGGGAAGAAGGAGGCCGCCCAGGCACTGGCCAGGATCGGCATCACCATTAATCCCCAAGTGGCTTTTCCCGGCCAGAGGGTAAGACTTTCCTCTTTTTAATGCATTAACCCCAAGAAAACGTCTTAACTTTTAAGACCTCCACATATTAGGCAACTTTTACTGTCACTGATGTAATCACTTGTGACATAGTTCTATGGAACCGACTAACATTTCATCTACTCTCTACAAACTATCATTCGGTAGTTTTTCATAGTGACGATGAAGACTTGCATTGTCAAAATAGTAACAAAATCAAGTACCAAATAAATTTATAAATTTTAATAAAATAATTTATATTGTTACTTTACGAAAACCTATCGAACGGCTGTTTTGTAATCCCAGAGTAATTGAGACTGTGGCCTACAGCATGCGTTCCTTTCTGGCCAATTTTCAAACGTGCACGAAACACCAAATTTCTTGGATCCGGCTCATCAAACAGACCGCCTACTTTCCTTGGAAGGATGTGACATCAAGTGGACAACGGGCAGGCAATAACTGAACTACTTTGCTTGGATCCAGCCCTTCTTGGTTATAATTTCAAAATCCTTTATTTCGGACCCTCTCTCCAGAACGATGAACCAAAATGTCTTCTTCAGGAAAGCAAATCGGAACATACACTACTAACTTGGTGGAAAAAATATACTAGAGACTTTTTACCGTAATTTTTGTATAGGCCAAGACTAGTGCTGTAAAAAGCCTCAACCCCAGCTGTAAATAATTTTAATCACTTGACATATTTGCCTTTGTGCTCGGATGGCAGTGGATAATTATTGACCTTATATCGATATGAGGACAATAATTATGTTCTCCCATTTTTTTCTGTACTATGATTACAAATGTAGTAAAAATAATATCTTTACAATTCATATATTAATTTTATTAAGCGTATAAGTACAATATAGTATCTATTATTATATACTCATCTAAATTGAAGGATTTTCCTATGGCTGTCCATAACTGGTTTTAGACATCCTCTTGTTGTAGATACATAGAATAGATTGGGAAAACATCCAAAAGTATCCATTCTAGGTCTTTTCCAAGTAGCCATGAGAATGTACACGAAAGCTCATTTCCCACCAATTTTCGCAATGCATAGACTATACTGTTTTACAGATGTATTGGCATTGACTGGCTTTACCACCCGCTCTGGCGTAAACTATCATAGTCAAGGTTTTTATGCCAGTGGAATCTTGGCCTTAATAATTTTTCTTTCGAAAAACAGTGTTTGGAAGTGGTGAGACCTCTCAGGGACCTTCTCAACCCAGAGTGCTCTGGCCTGCAGAACTTCGAAGCCCTGTTGGCCCTGACCAATCTGGCTCAAGCGGATGAAGATGTCAGGTAAGGGGAGTTCTCCCGTTTTAGTTACCACTGTTGTCCGACTTCTCACCTGTCCCCCTTTTTCTTCGGACAAGGAATCAGATTGTCAAAGACCACGGGATGTCCGAAGTCGACCAGTACATGTACGAGACTCACGAGGAACTGAAGCGGGCGGCAGTCCAGTGTACTGCCAATCTCATCACCCATCCGGAGGTAAGAGCCCCTTCCCTAAGGTTAATGAATAGAATCCAGCAGAAAGCAGATGACTGGTGATGATTCTCTTTCAGGTGCGCAGACAGTACGAGTTTCCCAATGACAGGGTCAAGTACCTGGTGCTGTTGTGCGAAGATGACGATCTGGACACAGCCAAGGCGGCAGCAGGGGCACTGGCTATGTTGACATCCATCAGCAAGAAATCGTGCAAGAGAGTCTTCGACGTAAGTCCTTGTACTAGGGTAGAACTGTTCTTAAATTACCGTGGACTAGGTATTCTGGTGTCCTTGTTTAATTTTTCTTTTAACTAACCAGAATGACATTCTGGCCTGCAGAGGTGGAGTTTGCAGTTGTTACTTGGCCGCAAGGGTGTGACTATACAGAAATGAATCTAATAGCCAGTGATATAGTTCTGGCAAAGAAAAACCGTGCACGTGTGAGAAGCAAGAAATCTGGTCAGCAAGAGTGAATTTCTGGTTCTGGCAAATCTGACAGGGTTCGATATTTATCACATCTCACCTCTTCTCACTAAATACTGCACATGCACATTGACACAAGTAGACAATAGCTTCTTATATCTTTCATTTACTGTATACAGGCTCTGAAAACGTTACTTTATAAATCTATAGTTAACAAAAATGTTTTATTAACAAATTATAATAAATTTCTTTTTCTCCGAAAACAGGAAAAGGATAAAGAACACAGTGCTTTCATTTTTTAAATGTATTCATTATGATGAAAGCCTAATAACAAAAGCATTTTCTTTGCTAGTAGTATGCATTTTAGTTGAGCCATTTGATGTTTACTTTCATATGTTGCAATAATTCACACTTCTCTAAGACCAGTTTGATACCACTTTCTCCCATTCGCTGACTGTACTTAATGAGAGCAAGAAATGTCATCACCTATTCTCACTTGCTGGTGTCTGCATAGTTGCACCTTAAGAGAAGAGAATACGGATGTGCCCGATTGGGCGTCCTCTCTCTACCTGCCTTTCCAGCGGCCATTCCATTTGAAAATGGAAGTAACGCGTCATGGAACGACCAGCAATATCTCGTTTCTTTTCTGGTTTTAAAGCTAAGCTGGTACTAGGGCGTGGAAACTGTTGACAAAACAAAAAACTTTGTGGCCTGAATACAGAGTGGAAATTTTCCACTTCTGCCATAAATACACGCAGCTGGCTTACCACAACGAGTCTGGCTCCAGAGTGAATATTAATTCTAAATTATGCCATCAGTGGCAACTGGATTTGTGTCAGATTTGGATGGTAGTTAGGAGTCCTTTGGCCTGATCCAAAGAATAAAATAGTATGTTTATCATACCATTGATGTTGTCCAACTCATTATACATTAAATAAAATGGCATGTAGCCAGTGTGGTTTAGAATATAGTCACAGAAAAAGTTGAAACGGTACCATTCGTCACATACTGGTACAACACTTGCATTTTCTGTTTGTAATTACAAATTATGAGAATATATTAAATTTATGAATAGACATTTACTTAAAATTTGATATTCATCATAATTCAATTTTTAGTTTCCCTATGTTTTATTTTTAATGTTTTCTCACTGAGAGAAGTGCTACTATTAGAGAATTTGTGGCCAATGTTCAAATGTTAAATTTGTACGGCAAGCAGAAGTACACATTTGATGTTTGAACTCCAAACTCATGGGATTTATTGAAAAATGGCAGAAATATTTAACAACAATGAATGTTACCAGCAAAGGTAAATAAACAAATTAAAATAGTTTAAAGTATTTATAGGATATTTAATAACACTAAAATTCATGATATGTTTTATTATGTAGCCAACAGATGAGGGGCTTATGACCGAAACATTTATCGGCCTGTAGAAATGCCCAGTGTCTGTCTATGCACCTAGTCGCAACGATAAAAACACTAAATAATTACTTTTGACTTTAATTAGCATCGTGTCTCTTCCTGTACGATATTTCTCATGACATACTTTTCTTGAGGGAAGTAGTGGCTTATGTAAATCCGAAAGCAGCTTGGGAAATTATTTTTAGAAAATTTACAAATGTATTACGCTGTTGATGGTAGATGCTGTGGAAGAACAAACCTACTCCTACAGAATTATGACGCTTAAATTCTATAGGCACTTCACATCACTTGCAAAAAATTGAATAATTTCTGGATTAAAATCATGTGTTTCTTTACTTAAACATTTATGAATAATATTGTAGTCATAATTTTAACCCCAAACACAGAAAAATGAAGAAGTTTAAACTGAACTTCTACTCACTATGCTAGATGTAGCAAACACCATTGTGAACCTTCTAGACTTGCTGGGTGCCTGCATTCAATATCTGATGATAATGTCAACCTCTCTATTGTTTGCATTAATTATAAATTTGTTACTCACGACATATCCACACAATAATATGGTTGCATAACATTATTTTGGGTAGTTATAGAGAAAAGACAGAGTTCCAGACTAAAACCTCCTCTCGCTCACAGCCAATCTTTTTGCTTCCTTGTATTTTAAAATGATGAATACATTTTCCCTTATGAAATAACCAGATCTATGAGTTATAATATATAGAACTATTAGGCTTAACGTTTGTTTCTAAATCAAACATTAAATTGTACTTAATGGTATTTTCCATCTTGCATTTCTTTTTCCATTCCTTAAAATCACTGAGTGAATGAAATGTCCGATTATAATTAGATATAGTAATATCGTGTCTCTCACCCAAGAGTGGCAATATTTCCTCTTTTGTATGACATTAGATATTTATCATCACTGTCATAGTCCTTTATATGCTTGGCTTTAAAATATCTATTTAAGCTTTGCTTACAATTATATTTCAAATTACATTCACCGCATTTCGTTTTATGACAGACAATCCACCATATATTAGCAAAATATATAGTGGATTGTCCATCCGTTTTCTCACCACCAACCGTAAATGAAACCGACACAAAACCAGTGGCCGCCATTGGTCTTAGCAGCATAATTTAGAACTAATGCTGGCTCCGCATACTTTATCCAAATTCTTTTTATTTGCGAGAAGATGGTAAGCAAAGTTTAATCCATGTAACCAAGTGTCCCCGGGGGTGCCATTTTTCCCACTCTTATTAACAATAGGCAGACAAAATAAGTCTCAATGGTAGGATAATTTTCACAGGCGCCAGTACCGGGCTTAATGGACTGCTCTCTCTGCTATTTCAGACAAACTCCTGGCACCAGATTGCCTGCAAGCTGGTGGCCAGCCAGGACAAGGAGCTGGTGCACAGGGGCGTGGTGCTGGTGGGCAACCTGATATCGGCCAGCAGACAAACGGCTGAGCGGGTGATCGAGACCAACCTGCTGGAACTTTTGATGGCCCTGACCCAACCTGTGGTGGATGACGTGGAACCCCGGGTGAAGAAGTTGGCCGAGGAGGCGCTTAAGCGAGCAGAGGAATGGAAACTCATCAAGCCCAACCTGGGTGAAGAGGAAGAGGAAGCCGAATCTGACTGAATGTGTATCAATAAAGAGTTTATTTTACCTGGTAAAAGTGGTCCTTTTTTTTTTTTAGGTGGAGGGAGGGCAAAAACTGCACTTCCCCTCTTTTATTGGCTTTAATCTCAACTTTTACACGGAAATGTGACCCACGGAGAGGAAATTCGTAGTTTACAGCATTAAGTAGGATTCGAATATACAGAATAAACCCAGGCAATTACACTATTTACAATTTCGGGTGTTTTCACTTTGTGCCTGGCCAATTCTTCCTGCCCGTCGAAAATAATTCTCTACCAACAAACAATGATGGTTTTTTTGCCACCAATGACCGACACGAACAATAATAAGCCGATTACGACTCGATGGAATTAGTCCTGGTTAACTTCTTGTAGCAGTGGCGACAGACAGGAACGGGTCTCTTGACGTGGTGGCCAGCCAGAGGGATCTGTTTGTCGATGCACCGCACACAGAAGACTTCTCCGCAACTCCAGCAGTGGAACTAAGGGCAGAGGATTTAATCACTCCTCGCAGATCTGAGGAAAGCAAAAAGCACTCACCTTTCTACCGAAGTGGTCGAAGGGTGTGGAACATGAACACTCTTTGATGTTGCGCAACGTCTTCCAGTTGACGGCCACTGACTTCAGTTCTTCGTCCAGCTGTCGAAAGGCTGAAAGGTCTCGCTTGTCTTCTGACAGTCCTGCAAAACACGGAATTTCTGCCTCAGTCTCTTCTCCCCATGCACACCTGCCTTTTCCAGACAGACCACCCCGTCTACTACTAAACTCCCATCGACTGATATCGGGATGATCTATGCCAGAAAATGGTGGCTGCCGTACCACCATGACCAACCTTCTAAAAAAGGTGCGCGTATTCTGCTTCAGATAATCCTTTAAAACCGCGGCGGGATGCGTCTTACTATTCATCTAGGCGAATTTGACCCTCCGAACGGATACAAAGAGGAGGACGAGCCGGAAATCAAGAAAAAAAATATATGAATTGGAAGGGGAGTGGCACTCCATACATTTCTTGTTATTTTTCTGGACCATAATTAATATTTACATCATTTAGACGAAACACATGAAGTGCCCGGTTCTCGCGGCTTTTCATCCTCGAGCGTGTTCTCCCTAAATCCACCCGTTCCCACCATTTTCCGCAGTGCCGTCTTAAAATCATTGATGGTTTTGTGTTTTGTAATTGCCCAATTTGAGTGTCATCCGACCCCGTAATACCGAGTTCCTCTTCTCTACGTTTAATATTAGAACGCGAAGGAATTTTTCTTCTTTGCATATAGAACATGCTGACAAAAAGAAATGCGCAATGTTTACTTCCGTCCTGTAGCATTTCCTGTATTTCCAAGTCGCTATATCCGGAATCTTGTGCACTGCTTTGACTACTTTGAATACTCGAAGTACCTCCGGAATTTAATTGGGGCGTGGTGACCATGACAAAACTGTCGACTTCGTCCAGAAGCTCGCCGTCGACCGAAGGCATGTCTCCGGAAGGGGTGGGGGGCTGTCCCAGCATCTCTTTCAGTTGATTGAATCGCTGAAATAGAAGAACAAGCGATAAATTGCAATTTTCCTGGCAGAACCTATGGGAAACGCCGATGATTACCTTCTGTAAAAACTGTATGTGATCTTCGAGACTGGTGATGTGATCTTTGGTGGCCACTAGCATGTCACTCAATGGTTCTCTGGGATGAACACCGTTTTCAAACCTGTTATACATTCCTCTCCAAAATCTTATAAAAAACAGTTTAAAATAAATATAACCTTTAATCCCGTATTAATTTTGATAATTTTCTTTTACGTACTTCATGGCCTGAGGAGCCAGACAGGGTCTCATCGGTCCCTTCAGTTCCGAATCCCGTTTGTATAAGGGATTTAAAAATTCCGAAAGATGATTGGACAAGTAACCCCATAAAGAGTAAGTGCGTTCTTTTAACCTTGGATAAAAAAATAAATATTACAATGTATAAAAAAATAAATAACCAACCAATTGCTTTTATTTTATAAATTTAAAAAAATTAAAAAGTCCAAAAGATGCTAGTTTAAAAGAGAACTTTAAGTTAAAAATTACTCAGTTTTCCCGATTTCAAAGAAACGAAAAACACTCAAGTGGAAAGAATTGAAGTTAACAATCATTTACTTTATTAAACTTTTTCACCATATGCATTTCACTTTACAGCCTCTTCAGTGGTTATTTCGTTTAACCTATCCCAGCATGCATCTGTGTTGACTCCCGTATTTAAATTAATAGTATTTGCATAATCTTTAATACAATAGTGTTCCACAATGCGTCTTATAAATAAATTCTCTATATTATACAATATTTTTATGTTATTACAATTAATAGTATAGGTGTTATTACTACAATGTTTATTCCAGGGAGATTCTATTCTTTTCAATCGTATTGCCGTTTCATGCTCTTTCAATCTTATTCCGGGTTTTCTTCCTTTCTCGCCGATGTAAACCTTCTTATCTGTGCATGTGCATTGTACTTTATAAATGACTCTGGCCACATCCAAAGGTATAAAATAAATACTTTTAGTAAAAGTATTTATTTTATAAACAAAGGAAGTTCTACAATTCAGAAGAATCCTTTGGATGTGGCCAGAGTCATTTATAAAGTACAATGCACTTGCACAGATAAGAAGGTTTACATCGGCGAGAAAGGAAGAAAACCCGGAATAAGATTGAAAGAGCACGAAGCGGCAATACGATTGAAAAGAATAGAATCTCCCTGGAATAAACATTGTAGTAATAACACCTATACTATTAATCGTAATAACATAAAAACATTGTATAATATAGAGAATTTATTTATAAGACGCATTGTGGAACACTATTGTATTAAAGATTATGCAAATACTATTAATTTGAATACGGGAGTCAACATAGATGCATGCTGGGATAGGTTAAACGAAATAACCACTGAAGAGGCTGTAAAGTGAAATGCATATGGTGAAAAGGTTTAATAAAGTAAATGATTGTTAACTTCAATTCTTTCCACTTGAGTGTTTTTTGTTTCTTTGAAATCGGGAAAAACTGAGTAATTTTAACTTGCTAGTTTAAAAGAGAACTTTAAGTATCTTTTGGACTTT